TGTGTCATTAACAAATTAGATGGGTTTTGAGCGTATAAGTAAAAGTTTTTTTTTTCACCTAATAAAAATATCTTTTAAATTGAAAATATGAATATGTGACAAGTAAGATGATAACAAAAAATTTACCCCTGATCATTGGGAACTCTCGCATGCAAACAGTGACCCAAGTTGATTCTATTCCAAGCATATAAGTAACGTAACAAGTGGTATCAAAATTTATTCACATATTGAATATACATGACTAATTCTGGCAAAAAGAAGTGCATGACTAATGGTAATTAGTTGATGATGACATTGTGGAATTCTCAAGTTGTCTAATCATTTTTACATAATTAGAGCTCCAAAGCCAGTCGTTTCTTGTCTCACGCTCAAAGTTTACCTGCTTTTGTATTTGGATCGTTTATAACTTTATACGTTTATAGTTATATGATAATGACTTTACAGATGACAAATCAATTGCTCAATAAGTATCTATATATATATATATATTCAAGAAATACCCTTATTTTTGTTTGAAAATTTTTGTTTTTTTTTAGCTGGATACTGAAAAAAATTCTTCATTTTATTTTAAAATACTTTTTAAAAATACAAAATTTGAATAACCACCGAACAAATGAATTATATGAAAAAAAATTTTTTGCTTTTTTTTTCTAAAGGAAAATGCTTTTATTTTATTATCTATTTTTTTTTCAAAATTTTAATATATATTTGAGTTATTTCTACAAAAAAAAATCAGCAATAAAATCAACTTAAAATATTAGAGATTCATGTTAACTCGATCACTTCAACAATCTATAAATTAATGCCAAGATATTGATTTGTTATGTCTTGAATGGGTAATCAATTATCAGCTCAACTCAAGTGTACAAGATCAACTCTAGTTTTTTATAGTTGATCTCAGGTAACTTTGGTCCAAAACTCTCCATCACATTTGTATAAATAGTTCGAATTACATATGTATAAATAGTTCGAATTAAGTGTTTCCAATTCATCTTGAATTAAAAAATCTTTAAGTTTTTATTTCATTATTTTCTCTTTTTTATTTTTAGATCGATATTTGATTTAAGTATTGAAATACAAATGTTATAATCATCCTTCGTCTTTATCTTTAATTGTACATTTTTTATCTCTTTTTTTTTTTTTAAATTTTATCCTCTTTCAATAGCTCAACACAAACACATATGATTTAAAATTAAACTTTGTTTTAGAAACAAATTAGGTGTAAAGTTGGTGTCCCACGAGCTTAACATCACCTAATCAGTACTCAAGTATTAATTAGTTATTAGAATAAAAATAAGTCTTCCAAATCCAAAGGCCAAATGATCATCAACATCACATTTCTAACAAAATCAGATTTTAATAATTAGTTTCTTAGTGGGGAATCTAATTAAAGGCAACAACGTGAGTCATGAAGAAACATATGTGGCTTAAGCATGAGCATATGACCCACGCTTTGACTTTAATTTGTTCATGGACTTCAATTATTTAATCTCAAAGGCGACTTTAGAAATTTGAGGAATTACTTTTTCCTTCTAATTATGTTCTTTTTCATTTTAAATTGAATTTTTTTTATAGAACGAAAAATACGGTCTGAATATAAAAAAAATTATAAAGTTTAAATTTTAAATTTTAAAATTATTAAATATTACCTCTTAAAATAACTATATAAATTATAAACCAATTGTAAACTCTGAATTTTAAATTGAATTTTAATATTTATGCATATTATTTTTATTATATGCTATAAAAATCATAATCAATTTAAATTTATTTATGAAAATTTCACCAATTATGTTTATACGCAAGCTTTAGTTGGGGCAATGAAATATCTAATTAAACCAAACCCGTCATTAAAACCTTAATCAAATCCTACAAAAAGCTTTGGACATTAGATCTACAAGACAATGTTGGATTAATATGAAAACATGTAAAACATTGGATTTGAAAGTGTCGGTAATTTGGCATCTTAGTACCATCTAAGGAAGGCACATCCTTGTGCTCTATTTTGTCATCAATCAACGTTTGGTGCGGAAATGGCAAACTTCCGGATGATGTCCAAGTCAATTCAAAGACAAGACCAGCGCTCCATTTATTCACCGCATGCTTTATCTTTGGCTGATAACGAAAGAGGTGAGATGAGCGGACAACTGAAAAAGGCTGTAATATTGATCTCATCCCAAAATAGTTTAAAAAAATTGTAATTCTACTCATACCAAATTTTTTTTTTTTCAAAATCATTTTAAATGAAATTATATAATTATTTTTTCTCTTTTTTTTAACTTTGTTTTTCAAAACTTTTAAAAGCTTCTGGTTGCATATTCATAAATTTTTAAAAGTTTTTTAATTTACATATTCGAAATTTTAAAAATTTTTGTAAGATTTTTTAATTGATTTATTTTTCAAACCTAAATGTAATTTTTTTAAAAAACTTTTGGATATGTATTTGGGTAAATTATATAATTTATAAAAAATACATATCCAAAAAATTTTGAAATTAAGATAAAAAAGATAATTAAATAATTTTACTTTAAAAAATTTTAAAAAATGAAGTGAGAAGAGGAAAAAAATTATAACGTGTTTAAAATTACCCTTAAAAAATTTGCGCACCACATTTCTATTTTAATATTTTCCTAAAAGGTTTTGCTTAAAAAATATATATATTTCCAATAGCAAATTTGTATAACATCCATGCGTTCTTAATGGGAAGGATCTACGTAGAAGCATGTTGGGGGCACTTGCCCCCAATGAGTTCCTAAATTTTTTTGGGTTTATTATAAAACATCTCAAAACTTTTGAAAATTCAAAATTTTGGCCCCATTGAAAATTTTGTGGTTATATTTGCCCCCTACTAAACTAAGGTTAATACAATAAAATTTTTATTATTTATCTAGTACTTGAACCTTGACATTTTAAGTGTTAAGCAATTTTATTATAATATATATTTATATATTGTCAAGTTTGTAAAAATGAAGTAAATTATTTTTAAAGAATCTAAAATTATTAAACTTTTAATATCTCTTAATAATTTGTTTAGATTGATGCAAGATAATTTTATAAAGATAAAGAGCTTACACTACTTAAATGGTTTAGTCACTTTCTAATACCAAAAAATAACATAAAAATATAAAAAAATAAAAATAAAAATAAAAATAAAAATAAATAATCATCTTTAACTAATATAAATTTATGTCTTCATTCTTCTTTTCATTATATCTACGAAAAGAATCATTTTTATTCTCCAAATTATAATGAATAAAAAATCAAATATATTTGTTTATTAAAAGAAAATGATAAAACTAATATATTAAAAGTAAATAATAAAATTAGATATATTAATTTTTATTTTATTCTTTCACATATTATATCTATCTTTAAAAATTTTGTAAGTAAAATTTTATTAAATTAAATTAATTATATGTATATATGTTTGTTATGAAGGATGATTTATTTAAATAGTATTTAGGTTATATTCACTAAAAATCAAATAATTAATTATGCAAATATTATTCTATTGCAAAAAATATTATACATGTTAATTTTATTTATAATTTTTTAAATTAATTTATATTTCAATAAAAAATTTAAATTAATTTAAATTATTTGTCCCCTACTAATCATAGATCTTAGCTCTATCCCTACATTATTGTGTTTGTTTCCTCTCACTTGTTTGCTAATAAAAGTTCTTTTCCACAAAAGTATTAAAAATGCTTTTGGGTGAATAAATGGCGAAGTATACATTTTTTTTTCAAAATGCTTTTATACAAATTTATAGTTTAACTTCGCATTCCATGTGCTCAATATTTTTTTTTTCTTTAGTAATAAAATCTCAAATCGATTTTATCAATAATTATGTAGTATGATAATAAAATATTAAATTTTAATAAATAAAATTCAATCATTAATAATTTTTATTTAGAGATAAAAAAATTTTAAAATTTATTCACTATATCTTCTTTCTAAACTGATAATTTAAAGCCAATAAAAATCTCCAACCATTCCCATTATTTTTTTTTTTCATTTTTTAATTCATATAAAATCACAATAATAATCCCCACAAATCTAGATTCTTAAGATGGGTATATTAGTCATTTCATCAAAAGTAAGTCGTTTGGAATAAATTATTTTCATTAATCTTCCACGTGCAGATAAATAAACGGGGGCTCGGAAACGCCATTTCCATCAAAACAAAGCTAAACCTGCAAAACAAATAAATAGGGGAAAGAAAAAAAAGCTCAATTAAAAAAAAAAAGTCGTCTCTACTGTTCCCGCTTGCTGTTTGGACTCTTCAGATTATTCAGTCTCAAATCTTTTTTTAACTCTCACTGACATTAACCCCAGGCAAGATTTTTCCTCTTTCTTTAAATGTATTTCTCTCTCGCTCTCACCATCTCTTTATTAATTCATATTTTATTTCTGTTTCTCCGCTTTTTTTTTTCGCTTTTTTTTCTTTTCTTTTTTTTCTTGTTTAATAAAATCATTCATTGCCGTTGTGTTAGCTCTGACACTAATGTGATTTTGCCTTTCCTTTTTTTTTTTTCTTTTGTTTATTCATTTCATTATCGGTTTTAAGAGATTCTTTGCTTTTGAATTCGTTTTTCTAAACCCTAACTCCTTCAGTTTAGCGCTCTCGTTATTTTTTTTTAATTCTTTTTTTTAATATCCGTTTATTTCTGTAATAAAATCGAAAAACGGAGGTTAATTTGGGTGTTTGCATTAAATAAAAGTTTATTATTGACTGTAAGTTTCTAAATTGATTTCAAATTTCGTTTCCATTTACGTAACTTGGTTGAAATTCGCTTCCTCTATTTTTTTTTTCTTTTTCTTATTCTGGTAGTCAGACCGGCAAAGGGCCTAGACTTTGATCATTTCTAGAAGCAGCATATTTTTCTATATGTTCATATTATTTTTGTTTATTTATTTATTTCTTAAAATAGTTTAAAACTGGAAGAAAATAAATTCAAAAACTAGAAAAATCATATATAGCTTTAATTTAGGTGATATTTAATTTTTCCCTTTTAGAATCGAGAAATTCTCATTTGTAATAATTAGGGGCATGTAAGCTTAAATCTTTGTGATTTTGGTTTTGTTTCCTTTGTTATTATATGATATCAGAATCTTCTTGCATTACTTTAGGTAATTAGGTTATACTTATTTTGTTTCAAAAGAGTTCAGCTTTTGATACTGATGATAGCTTCGAATTGTTAAAATAAAACTTTTTTATTTGGCCACGAATTCTACTGCAAAAATAATCTGGTATCTCACACTCTTTTTCTCTGCTTTTTTCTTTAGTTTCTGTTTTTTATTTTTTCCCTTTGAGGCTTATTATTATATTTTTAAAAATGGTGAGGAATGCATGAACCTACTGCTAGAAGAACAAGGAATCTGGTGCTTTTTTTTCATCTGGAAAAGAAAAAAAAAATGTCTTTAATCCTCTTATCATCATGCATATTTTGGTGATTTAAATGTTTTTATTTTAGATTTAAATCTGCTGGCACCTACGTATTTTGACTTTGTTTCTTCAAGAAGGGAACTTATGAATTGGTTTTGACATATAGAGGCTGGAGCCGAAGAAGAAAAAGATAATCTATGGGGGAAGACGCAGGAAGAGGTTTGGAATGCCAGAAGATTATGGATGGGAAGGAGAATAATAGGAGTGGTTCAGAGAAGGCTATCCCTTCTTGTTGCTTGAAGGCTAGGGCTTCAGCCCCTGAACTTGAGGCAAAATGCCATTCTACCGTTGTTTCTGGGTGGTTCTCAGAATCTAAGTCTTCCTCTGGTCATTATCTTTGAATTCTTTTCTTTCCTGCTCCTTTTCATCATTTACCAGAATTACTCGGTTTGATCTTTATTTTTCGTTTGTCCTCACTTGCAGATAAGGCTGGGAAAAAGACCTACTTCAACAATCCTATGTGGCCTGGTGAGCTGTAATTTTCCTCTTTCATTTATACATGTTTGGAATTCTTACAAAAATCTTTCTTTTTTCTTCACAATTGTTATGTAACTATTGTTTTCCAATTTTTTTTATCATAACAAACGAAATCTGATAACAATTCTGTTAATGGCTCTTCTTTACCCTTCTCACTATGCTATAGTACCTTTTGCCTTTCGATAATCTATCGAAGTAACTTATTCTATGAAATTAGAGCTTAGGAGAATTTAGTTGAGCTAGGGACAGCCTCTCATACATTACACAATATCCTTTGCTGACAATGTTTTAATTTTTTTGCTGCAGGAGAAGCACATTCTCTAAAAGTTGAAAGCATTTTATTCAAGGCAAAGTCAGATTATCAAGAGGTCCTTGTTTTTGAGGTGTTGTCCTAGTTCCTTTCTATCTATTCCTCTTTTTCTTTTTTTTTTGTGTGTGTGTGTGTGTGTGTGTGTGTATGTGTGCGCTTGACTCTGCATGACTCCTTTTTTATGTTTATTATGCATAATCTTGCTAATGACAATGCTTTTTCTGCAGTCATCAACCTATGGGAAAGTGCTTGTTCTTGATGGTATAGTTCAGCTGACTGAGAAAGATGAATGTGCATATCAGGAGATGATAGCTCATCTTCCCCTTTGTTCAATTCCATCTCCTAAAACTGTAATCTCATCTTATCTAAGCATAGGCAGTCAGTAATTTCCCTTTTATCTTGCTAATACCATTATTTATTGATGGACTTATCAAACTTTTCTTTTCTTCAATTTCTAATCTCCTTTTGAAATTATTTTCTTTTAAGATTGCATGATCAGGCAATCTGTATTAAGTTTTGTGCTAGAAAGCCAATTGAAATTCGTATATTGTCTTTTCTGTCATCAAAATCTTGAAATAAATCCCCCAAACTATTTGGTTGATTTAAAGTGCTTGAAGCCTGATTAACCTCAAATTTTCTCTTCTTTTATCAAAATGTTACCTATGTAGCCTTAGTTCCAGAAAGATTTTATTTTAGCCTCAAGTTTGTTTCATATTGATTTTTAACTAAATATTGGATGCAGGTTCTGGTTGTTGGCGGTGGTGATGGTGGGGTTCTTAGGGAGATTTCTAGGCACAGCTCTGTTGAGCACATTGATATATGTGAAATAGATAGCATGGTTATAGATGTATGTTTTATCTTATTGTCTCTTCTTATTTTCTTTTCCTCTTAGTCTATGTCTAACAATGCAATTTAATAGCCATTTATCGTATTCTTTTTATTCTAGGTTTCCAAGAAGTTCTTTCCTGAATTAGCTGTTGGATTTGAGGACCCTCGTGTTCATCTTTATGTCGGTGATGGTGTGTCGAAACAATATTTTTCCACTTTATTTTTATTAAAATTTTTTTACTATGAATTTCTTGTGAATGGTCAACAATAAGCTATAATTTCAAGCTGATATTTTTAGTTGCATAATCTTAACAGCTGTTGAGTTTCTTCGTCATGTTCCAAAAGGGAAATATGATGCAATCATTGTTGATTCCTCAGATCCTGTAGGTACGTTGCAATATTTGGTTCATTATAATTTTATCTATAGTTCTAGTGAGGTATTCAGATAACAAAAAAAAAAAAAATCTATTGTTTCTTTCAACATGAGAAAAAAAAGGAAAAAAAGGCGTAGAAGTGTGAAAGTGCTTTGATGGTTTCTTAAAGAATATGTATGTAGTGCTCTTTGCTTAGATGATTTGTTATGACCTCTTTTAGTTTTCAAGAGCTTTGGGGGATGTTACAACCATGATATCTGCAAATTCATTTTAGTTTTAAGATTCAACATTCTTCAAGCTTTCACTCAGGGTTTTTGTTTGCAATGTAGGTCCTGCTCGAGAGCTTGTAGAGAAACCATTTTTTGAGAACATATCCAGAGCATTAAGGCCTGGTGGTGTCCTCTGTAACATGGCAGAGAGTATGTGGCTTCATACACATCTAATCAATGATATGATCTCTATTTGCCGTGAAACATTCAAGGGTTCTGTTCATTATGCATGGGCAAGCGTTCCAACTTATCCAAGGTATTTAATTATGTTGTCCTTTTCCCTTATTCTTATTATATAATAATTATGCTTTTGTCTGTGGCAAATTTATCTGTTAGGATATACCAATTGGAGAACCATCAAGCATCTCATTTCTAACTTCTGGTTTCTTTTTTCATTTTTAATGCAGTGGTGTGATTGGTTTTCTGATGTGCTCCACGGAGGGGCCACCCGTTGATTTTTTGAATCCCATAAACCCCATTGAGAAGCTGGACGGAGCTTACCATCATAAGAGAGAACTTAGATTTTACAACTCTGAGGTGAGAACTCATATCTTAAAGTTTAGTTTTCTTTCATTTCAGCAGGGTACTTAGTAATTACTTTTGCTATGAGACATTAAATCCTTAAACAATATATGTGAACATGTCTTCTACAAATGCGCATGGATAGTGATGTTCTTCTGGATGGTCAAATGAGATCGAGATCTATATTAGTACTTTAGTAGTATGGTAGCCTTATGAATTCTACTGGAAATGTAATTTTTGTTTTTTACTGACAGATGCACAAGGCGGCTTTTGCATTGCCTTCATTCCTCAAGAGGGAGGTTAGGCTACTTTGTGATTCTGCAGCCCAGGCACGAGGAATATGTGTCTCCTAAGCAAATATGTAGCAATCTCAATTGTTATTTAGCATTTCTGATAGGCTGAAATTACTGCCGTTTGGGAAATAGACGTTAAATAAATGTTCTCCACATGTAGGTGCAGCTGGAGCCATTTTAGCATGTATTACGGTTTTATTTTAATGAATACTTGCGTAGAACTTATCCTATGATTGTTATGGAGCACTTACCGTGTTTGCTTGATGAGAGGCGTTTCAAATGTGTTCAAGTCATATTACTAGCATTCTGGACTTTGACGACAGAGAAAACTCTGAAAAAAAAAAAAAAAGAAGGAAAATAATATTACAGTATTGTTTGTTATATTCACCCGATTCACTGCTAAGTTTAAGTTTAGTAGTAATTGTTGCAGTTGTCTTATAATTTTGGTTTGTGTTATGATCTCTTTGCTTTAATGGATCATGGCTTATGTATTACGAGTTTGAGTTGGAACAAAGAACAAGGCATTTTAGAGAGGAGCTCGATGGTTCCCAAACCATATGTAAAACTTTAACCATTAACGGGGTCGTATTGTTCATAAACTATCAAATCGGTTCATTTACTGTTGAGCTTTTGAAAAGCGATAAGTACCATTTCCAAATTCCAAATTTTCGACTTACTCCTCCATCTTCCCCATGACCTCTTCTGACTTGCTAATAATTTTTATTTAGGATCATTTTTACTAATAACTAGAATTTGGCCCCCACTATGCTGGGATTGATATTTTTCATCGATTTTTTATTTTTATTATATTTATTATTATTTTAATATAAAATAATAAAAAATTTTAATATACATAAAATATTATAAAATATTAAAAGTTTAAGAAATTAAATATAATATTTAATATGTTATGATTATTGTTTTTGTTATTAACTTTTCATGCTGTGTTAGAAGTTTTGTGATTTTTTAAAATTATTTTATCAATTTTATAATTTTTTCAATTTATTATATTATAATTTTTTTGTGAAAACAAAGAAAAACAAGAACAATACAAAAATTATAATTTTTAATGAAAACCTTTTTATTTTTAAGTACTATACCTCATAAATATATAATAAGATTATACCTAACAATAAATACAATTTAATGATTAGAAATTATATCTCACCAAATAAGAAAAAAATCACTCTGTGAATTTGGATTTGGGTTTTCAGCTTACCTAAATGAGCCCAGCATTTGATCTAAAAGTCATAAATGCAAAATTCACCTCTTATAAATTTAAAATTTTTAACCTCGCATTTTATCATGCAACTAATTTAAATAAATGATAAATTTAAAAAATTAAATAAAAATTAATTATTAAGTGACACGTATTTTTATTAGAGCTTAATGGAACAATCTTTCTATTGTTTCATTTGGGGATTATTTTTATATTATGTATAGATGTATAGATTTGCAGTAGTAAGTCATTTTATAAGAGAAAAAAAGCTCAATGCAATTACATGGCAGTCTCGTCCCAATCCTGAGTTCCAACCACAAAAAGTGACCCCTTTGAATCACCTAGTAGATTCTGCCACGAGTCGAATTTTGACCGAATCTGGCACGCGCTATCCACACTTCCTACCTTCAGATTTTCCTCTCATTGTCTTCATTTTTCTGCCCTCATCTCCAGTGCTGCCGAGTAACACAGGAAGGAACCAAAACCTAAAAAAGGTTCGTAATCATCTCTCTTGAAATATTCTCTTTTAACTTAGAATTTCCGATGCAGGCTTCTGCTCTGAAGAAAATTCTTAAAGAAACCCGTTACCGGGCGTAATTGGTGTGTAAATTTCCTATTTCTTTTTTATCCGAATATGATTCTTGAAGGAGACAAACTTTTCTTAAAAAAAATTGAAGGTTTTTTTTCTTTCACCTTTGATTGGTTACAATTGTCTTGATGAATTCGATGCTTTTTTGATGGGGATAATTCTTACTTGTTTGCAGGTTTGAACTCTCTTGGATGACGGCTTCTATAGTTACAAATCACAAGGCTATACGCCGTGTAATCACTCCCCTTTCGCATCCTTAAATTTTTTTATTTAATTCTTGACAATATATAATAAATTATTTTTAACACTGAATTCTTATGGATTTTGCCTTGATAACCCTTAATCATTCATATCTTTATTAGATTTTATTTTTATTTGGGAGGAAAAGTTATACTAATAAATATATCAAGACATCTTTTTTTCTCAATGAAATGTTTTTATTTCGGGCTAAGCTTAATATGATATGCCTTCTTCCCAGGCCATCCACACAGCTGATGTTTTGGAATTTGGATTATGTTCCCGGAATGGGAAGTTTGCATATCTGCCTTGCAGACTTAATGTAAGGCAGCCAGTGCAAACCGTTCAATTATTAGCAAAAATTAGGAACACCCTCACTTGGAAGACTATAGCTTTTGCTATTCCTAATGAAAACAATGAAGTGGAAAGAAGCAGTTCCCATGCTTGTTCCGATGATCCAATGCTTATGCCTTTGGAAAATAATCATAGTTCCAGCGATCTGGATGAAGAAGCTGTTTCTTCTCTTTCAGAGTCAGGAGCAGGGCTCTTTCAGAGGGTTGAAGACTCAGTAAGCCAGTCAAGCCTTCTGGAAAAATTGAAGGCTGTACATTTACATGTGTTAGCGTCAGAACAGTGGAATGCTTCTAGGCTGAAATTATGTCACAAGTATGTTTGAATCTATATTTGTTCTTATGATTGCCTTCAGCAGTGTTACCATCTGTTTTTTTTTTCTTTTTTTTGTAGTTTTCATTGGGTTCTCGAAGTTCTGTTTCTTTGACTCTGATCTTATGCCATATATACGTTTATTTGTATAAATTTAATATATCATCTTATAGATTGGCATATATGGTCCTTTTTTCCTCTGAAAGAAGGCATATGTGGTCCTTAATCTATAAGCCATTCATGATATTTAAATTTTTTTTCTCTCTACTTCAATCGTTGCCAGCTCCTATTTCAAATTAAATTAGGTCAATCATTGATAGGCCTCAATGTTATATTTAAGTCAATGAAAATGTATGCATTAACCTTGTATTTTCTTTCAAAAGTTGCAAAATAGTTTTCACTTTATATACAGCATAAGTGTTTTGTTGAGTTGGAGACTGAACTCAAGCCGGAATAAATAAATAAGTAAATTTTTATGCCAAATATTTTTTCTTATTTTCAGGGCTAGTTAATATAAAACAGGTCTTTTTTGTTTTATATGAGATTCGTCACCACTAAGAAACTGGAAATACATAAAAATACTTAGTTGAGTGACTTGGGAAGAGATATTGCTCACAATTGGGAACTACCTTTTTTCTTTCTCTTCTATGCACTTCAAGTTTCTTATTTGCAGGCATTTTCTAATTTATGGAGACTTCGTCATTACAGAAATTACATGGAGAGTGCAACAAACTTAATCCATTATCTGGCTTTGAAATGTCTTGACACTGAGCCGCTCAAAGATGATCTTGCTTTGATCAGTCTTCTGAATTTGGATATGGTCAATTCATCTGTCCTGAAAACTCTAACCACAGGCATCCAATTGTTGGAGGACCTACAGTTGAAGTCTGTAAGAACTGAGGAGAATGTTGGTGCAGGAATTTGCTCTCAGGAAGAATTAGATAAACAAAAGAAAGGGAATTTCATGATAAACACAATGAGGATAAAGGCATATTTAAACAGAGATAAATTATTAGGACCACTTCAGGATGGCAGACTTACTCATATCATGACAACAGTTGGCGAAGAAGCTCTTGACAGTGAAACACTAATAACTGATCTTATAAAGGCTGGGACCTCTATTATTCGAATCAATTGTGCGCATGGAAGCCCTGAAATTTGGAGTGAGATAATCAGAAGAGTAAAACAAAGTTCTCAAATGCTGGAGGCCCCATGTCGAATTCTTATGGATTTAGCTGGACCAAAACTTCGTACGAGTAATCTAAAGCCTGGTCCTTGTGTGGTAAAAATATCCCCTAAGAAAAATGCTACGGGGAAGGTGATTTTTCCTGCACAAGTTTGGGTTTCTCACAAAGGAACTGGCGCTCCTCCTCCTCATGTTTCTCCTGATGCAGTTCTGTTCATAGATGACCAAAAATTTCTCACTGAGATCAAAGTAGGTGATACTTTGAGGTTCTTCGATGCTAGAGGTAAGAAAAGGATGCTAAAGATTTCCAGAGTCCTTCACGTTTTTTCTGGTACTGGCTTTATGGCTGAGTGTACTAGGACTGCTTATGTTAGTTCTGGAACAGAATTACATATTAAGAGGAAGAAAGGTAGGTTCCCTGTTGGACAAGTGGTAGATGTCCCTGCTAGAGAGTCATTTATCAGACTAAGAGTTGGGGACTTGCTGATTATTTCACGGGATGGTACATGTGACCAGGATAGCTCCAATGGGCACACAAGTGGTGCTAAAAGAATAACATGTTCATCGGGCTATCTGTTTGATGCTGTCAAACTTGGAGAGCGCATAGCTTTTGATGATGGAAAGATTTGGGGAGTCATCAAGGGAACTAGTCTCTCAGAGATTGTTGTCTCAATCACTCATGCCGGCCCAAGAGGGACTAAACTTGGATCCCAGAAATCCATCAACATCCCAGACAGCAATATTCCATTCGAAGGTGTGACTTCAAAGGATCTGGTGGATCTTGAATTTGTTGCTTCCCATGCAGACATGGTGGGTGTTTCATTTGTTAGAGATACTCATGATATTGTTGTGCTTCGCCAAGAACTGGAGAAAAGGAAACTTCAGAACCTGGGGATTGTTTTAAAAATTGAAACAAGAAGTGGGTTTGAGAAATTGCCCCTCTTGCTCTTGGAGGCAATGAAGTCTTCAAATCCTTTAGGAGTTATGATTGCGAGAGGAGATCTTGCAGTAGAGTGTGGGTGGGAAAGATTGGCTGATATGCAAGAGGAAATATTGTCTGTTTCCGGTGCTGCTCACATTCCAGTTATTTGGGCTACTCAGGTCCTTGAATCACTTGTCAAATCTGGTGTTCCTACCAGAGCTGAGATTACTGATGCTGCAAATGGAAGGAGGTAAGTGGTCAAATTATATTTCCCTAGTTATATGTTATCAATGAAATTCATTTAACATTGGATAATTTGTTTGAGCTACATAGGAACTTCAGTAGTTAGGCAGCCAACTTTACATGCATTTTCATTGTCCTTAACGCAAATTCATTTATTAATGGCTTCTGACTATTATACCAGTATAGCATACTACAAATTCTTTTCCTTGTGTAATGTAGGGTGGGTGGTCTTGTCTGAACTCTGAACTCTGAAGTATTGTTGAAAGCCAATTAGTCAATCTCTGATATGTCGGGTGGTTTTCCATTTCTGATAGCCTATGGATTTCCCTCTACCACTCACCTTCCCCCTCTTTCTCAAACACTTCTTTGTTTAAATTAATATATAAATATACTAACAAGCATATGAATTCCATTCTAATAGGATTTCACTAAAGTCCTCCCTGTTTCTTTTCCACTGTCTCCTAGAATAACTTGTGCTTTAAATGATCAAATGCATGGAACTTGGAAGTATTAAAAGTTTCTCTTTATTTTTCCAGGGCAAGCTGCATTATGTTGAACAAAGGGCGACACATTGTAGAAGCTGTTTCAACTCTAAATAGTATCCTCAACTCAAACTCAGAACAGATGAAAGCCGAAGTGAAATCTCTTCTTCTGTCCAGCCATCTCTTTTAGGGAAGTCCAGTTTTTTGCATTTAGTGGAGTACTGTTACTGTATAATTTGCAGCAGCATGCATCTTTAATAATGGATGACTTATCACAAATAACAAGCAACTGACTATAATTGCCTATTGGTACCGTAGTTTATATCATTGAACAATGTTTTCTCCAAAAGAATCTTTAAGGAAATGGTGAGCAATGACCTGAAGAAATTATCTGTCCTCCACTGGCAATGACAAATTGTTGCATTGTTTTTGTACGTGATAATTGATTGAGAATCTTTAAGTACATAAATCGTATAAGTAACAAATAAAGATTTTTTTTATAAGAAATGTAAATAGGTTTAATATTAAGTATCAACATTATAATATCTTAATTATATTTAGACAAATTAAAGTTAATATGTAAAAACTAAATTAAATTATTTACCCAATCAACACAGAAAATTAATTTATGCAAAAATCTAATTAAACAAGCTAGCAAATTAAAATCAAAATTTAAATATGTAAAAACAAAGAATTAAACTTAAACAATAACCTAAAGAAATCAAAATTCTAAATAAAGTTGAAACTTAAACATGCAAAGAGAATTTAAGTAAAACAGAATTTAAATTGCAACCTAAAAACAAGAATTAACTCTCTATTCTTTAAACTAAATAATAAATCTAATGCATCAATTTAAGAATTCAAATTATCATGCAAAGATACTAAATTAACTAAAATTAAAATTAAAATTAAAATTAAAAAACTTCACTCATGAAATCTTAAAAACAACAAATTAAACCTAATGTAACATGTTTGAATTATAAACAAAGTAAATAAATTTAAATTGCAAGTAATAGAACAAAACTTAAGCAAATTAAACATTAAATCATGCATAAACATTAAACCTAATCTAACAACTTGAAATTATAACTTGTGCAACTAAATTCAATGTGAGAAACCTTAAATCGAACTAGAGCAAAACTATATTAATCTTAAATTGCATGAACTGAACTTGAATGAAATTAAAGTTATAAATTAAGTAAATAGCAAGAATAAAAAATTAAGGAGCTTGAACTTAAATTAAATCAAAACATAATTTAAATTGCTTGAAAACTTAAATTAAATTTGTAGAAAATTAAATTAACTTGAAAAAAAAAAACTAAATTGAATTAAAAACTTAAGAAAACAACAAAAGAAAGTTTAAAAGAATAATGGCCGGTCTATCACCCATAAATCTTAAACTAAAAAGAACTTAAAAGAATAAGAAAACAATAAAAGTAAACCCTATAAACTATAGGATGGACTCTCACCCTAACCATGCTTTTTCTTCTTCCTAAATGTAGTTATTTATAAAACAAGAAAACATAGAAACTCTAGACTAATGACCAACAAACTTGATCTTGAATTCCTAAAATGATTAAGTTTGACCAAGATTGGATTCTCTCTTGTAGAAATCTTTTTAACATGAATCTTTGTTGTGTTGATATGATTTGGCTCTTTCTAATGTATGTAGATTGAATCTTGGGATGATTAGGTGTTGACTTAGATAATCTTGTTGACTTGTCTCCTCTTTATATCTTTTAGATAAATCTTGCTAACTTAACACTTACAAGATAAGAGTGTTATACAGCTAACTTTTTTTTGTTGAAAATAGTCTTGTTCTCTTTTAAACTTTCTCGAGTATCTCTCAAAGTCTCAACTTTGAGCTACTTTCTTAAATGGAAAATCTCCTTTTTTTTTTTTTTTTTTTACTTTGAGAAGCTTTAAAAGTCTTGAATTTTTTAGTTGCTTGTTCTTTCTTGGACCCGTTCTTAATGAGTTCTAAAAGAGTTAAATCTCTTAAATTGAAAATATAGGTTTGACTAAGTCTTTTTGAAAATTAAAAGTTGAAAGTCTTTTAGAAAGTATTGATCAAGTTGGAATAAATCTTGTTCATTTTTGGAGACTTCTTAGAGTTTGCCTTCAAGTAATATTTTTTTTAAAGAAAAAAAAATCAATTTTGAATTTATATATCATATGCATACAGCCCTCTCTTTAAAAGTCTTTATATATTCATGTAAATCTTATCCTAAGTAAGAGTAAGGGCAATCCAAGTAAATATAGGATTTTCAAGTAGACTTGATAATTTTATACACGATAGAGTGACATAACACTAAAATGATATGAAAAAGAATCATATATCTTTTAACAAATGTATCTTGTGTTTATTTGTGTCGTTATGAATTTTTAATACGATATAATTCGTATTTTATATGTGTTAACACGTTTAAACACGTGTAAGATACAAAAAACATGTTTGTATAAAATGTGTCATATGGGTACACGTTTAACATGTAACACGATATGAAAAAAAGTTTAATTTAATCATGTCACATGGGTCCACGTTTAACATGTTTAATATATTTTTTACATTTATTTTAGTTTAATAAAAACATATAAAGATTATTTTAATTTTTAATCTTTTAAATGTGATACCTAATTAGCTATTCAATACCATATAAAGATTATTTTAAATATTTAATTATGATATTTATTTAATAATTATTATAAAATTATTTTTATATTAATAATATTAATACAATATAAATAATAATATTAATACGATACATCACTATTTTATTATTTAATTTTTAGCAGTTCATGCTTTTGGAGTTGATACTAATAAACATTTATTATCATTATATTAGTAATTTATATATTAAAATTTAAATATATATTAAATGCATATTAAATAGGTATCAAAATTTTAATACTTTTTAATATGCAAGTCTTTTTTATATTAATAATGTATATATTACATATATATATGTATAAATCTTAACATATTAAATATGTATTGTTCTTTGTAACTTTTTATAATAAGATGAAAAAAATTTTATTAAAAAGGAATTGAGAAAGACAATATACACTTAGTTGTTAACATAAGTAAAATCCAACATTATAGCCATTGATCAAGCAACGCAAATCCAAATCACATAAACATACAATAATAGATTATGCTAATAATAAATAATATTTATAATGATAAAAAATAATATGATCATCATAATAACATAAATTATAATATGTGATTATTTTAAATTATAAGAATTAAAATAAGAAATTATATATTTGAAATTAAAAATAACACATATTCTAAATAATATGCAAAATGATAAAAATTATATAATTTATTTTATATTACATGATGCTATTTTATTAAAACATAACTTATCAATTATTACTACAAATATATATCTCGATAATCTATTTTAAATATTTTATTCTAAATCATATGACAAGAAATTATATATTTGAAATTATACATAACATATTTCTTCTAAATAACATTTATAATGATAAGAGATTATATAATTTATATTTTTATATCATATGATAAGGTATTATTATAATGTAATGTATATACCCATCTTAATGACTTGTTTGATATATTTTTCTAAATTTTAAATCACATCATATGATACTCATATATAATTATAAGAGATTATATAATTTATTTTAAATCATATATATAAGTATATCCATGATAATTAAAATATGTAATTTATTTTAATCATATTATATCGTATAAAAAATTATTATAAGTAACATAAATATAATAATTTGACTTTAAAAATATTTTAATTTGATATTTTTCAATAATTTTAATAATTTATAAGGATCTTTTATAAGTAAATCATGCTAATTAAGTAATTATTGAAAATATATAGTAATGTTTGTTTATTAGAAAAATAATTATAGTATCATCATATTAATATTATGTATAAGAAAAAACAAAAAAAATAAAAAGTATGAAAAAATAGCTTTTGAAATAAACTTTTTAATCATATATGATTATTATACATTCATATTCTTATTTTTATTTATTTATTTTATTCTTATTTTTATTTATTTATTTTAAATACATTGACCTACAAGGCTGGTATGCCTTATTTGTTGAATTGGGTATGATATTTGATGAATGTTGTTATTTACTATCTATTAGATGTTAACTTGGATATTTATAAATTATTTTGCTATTTTAAATATATGTTATGGACTATGGGATAGATTGAAGACATTGTTTATTTAAGTTGATATTTATAAATTATTTTGCTATTTTAAATATATGTTATGGACTATGGGATAGATTGAAGACATTGTTTATTTAAGTTACTGTTTAATATTTTTAGTGGAACATCTAGAGACTTGGACTTGATGTAGTGTTATTTACACTATGTAAATGTGTAATAGGGCATAAGCTATTTACTATTGTTTAGTGTTTAGTATTTTAGGAATTTAGTAGTTAGTCTTATTTGGCTAATACTTAATTGTAACTTGTAAGTTAGAAATAATGGATAATTCATATTTTAGTCATGTTTTCGTGTATATTCATGTTAGTCATGTCTATTCGTATATATCCGTATTATTAGTATTTATTTATATCATGATTAATTAAATTAATTAATTGTATATGTATTAGTCATATTATATCACATGTAACACATATAATAAAAATATCATATTTATATTTATAATTTAAACTTGTTTTATAATTTATGTTGTGTTCGTATTTTCATAATTTATATCTTATTAGTATTTTAATAATTCATGTTATTACATATGTCAAATAATATGAGACATAACATGCAAACATGAATTACAAGATTTATTTTAAGTCAATGTAGAAAAATCAAAGGCTATTTGGACTTTTTTAATTTGAACAAAATTGTCAAATTATTATATCACATAAGCCTTCTAAATCATTTCTCTTGGCTGACAAGAAAACACTTGCTGCTTTGTTATCTATTAATAATTTTACACATGCGCGCCAACATAAAACACCACAAACTTACATTTAACTTAAATTTACAAATTTAACTTTAATTGTAGCCGAACATGACTCTTTTTTATATTTTTGCATGAATTTTTTGAATTTTTCACCAAGATTAAGTAATTCTAATTCTAATAGGTTTAGCCAAATAAATTTTAAATAATTTTCACATTTTCACTCTAATTTTTTCAAAAATTAACAAAAATTCATCCAAAATAGTTTCAGATTCATTTCAATGTATCAAGAATCATTCAAAATTAATTAAAAATTTTCAAAATTCTTCAAAATTCATTAAGATTCAATTTTTTTTCCCAAACTTTTTACAAAACAGTAAATTAAACACATTAAGAATAAAAAAAATCATTATTTCACTAAAAATTAAGTAAAATTCATTTATTTAAGCACTAAAAATAAATTTAAATAATTTTATTTTATAAGATTATTGATAATATAATTGGATGGTATTTTCCAGTGGAATAGCTGAACAAAGCTTTTCAAGTTGTGGTATTGGCCGTCGTGATCTATCTGAGAAGTGTAAATTAATAAGTTGCGGAGTTCCAAGATCAGAACCATTATCAGGAGTCGAGGCGTAGATGCTAGTGTTACCAGAAGCTGAAATGTTGTCACCTCCTCCGGCTATTTTAATATGCAGATGATGACATCTGCCTCTGTTGTTTTTTACTGCGAAAGGTAAATTATACGTAAACACTTTTTAAGCCCTTAGCCACTAGAGAAAACGCTTCCACATTAGTAACTGCTTGAATATTTCCTCTGTTACTCAGACTTCAAAAGGTGAGTAATATACGGATATAACCAATTTGTTTTAAGTTCACGCTTAATTTTCATTATCATTTTCTTGGGAAAATATTTTAGCACATCAACACCTACCTCTTCTTTCTTTCTTTCCATTTGTCTCTCTGATAATATTGCTTAATTTGCCGCTGCAGTTTATATGGAAGTTTCTTAAACGGCTTCCACCGCTCCCATCTCTCGAGTTCTCAGTCGCAACTCTTCTAATTTCATGACTTTGGACTGCAGATATATCTGATTCCCAAAAAATGAAACAATTCACCAAATTCTGGATTATATGACCCTCAAGAAGGTTCAAGCTTTATAGAGCATACACCAAAAATTTTAATCAATTGTATAATTATGAGAGATCCCGAATGAATGAAAAAAAAATGTCCATTTCACATTATATTTCATCAATTGCATTTACATTCAACTTACTTCAAGTGGAGAGGAAAAAGCTAAAATTCTTTATCATCGGACAGGTCGAGAAAAAGATGCCTCCAACATCACACTCAGAAAATGGGAGGGTGTGTTGAGGAGCCATCCATAGTTCGTCACAGCGAATATTATAGCAATTTGGCTGAGTGAGTGTGGTCCATCTGGCATCTTTAACCAGATAACTCTTCAGATGTTCAAGCCAAATCCAACCAGCTATATCTAAATAATTAAGGTAGAAATTTAAAAAGAAAAAACCGGGAGCCCTTCTTTCAACCTTACTTTACTCTGTAAGACTTTGTTCTCCATTTCACCACGCAGCTTCCTTTTGCAAAACTCTTGAATTTGTTACACTGAAAACTTATACATATAATGACAGCACAAAAAAAAAAAAAAATTGGTAATTCATGAAAACTGAGGAACAAAACAAAGAAAATTTGAAGATTTACATTTACATCATATACAGACGTCATCCTCAATAAACGGCAGCTTTCTACTAAGTTATATTCCCTGTTTCGAGAGGGATGAGATTTCCTAATCTGTTCCAAACACAACAACCTCTTCATGCCAACATGCGTAAAGTTACCCCCCCCAAAAAAAAACCTACCTCCCTATTGTTCTTCCGCAGTAAAATCAGGCTCTGCTGGCTTTTGGAGCAGAATAGGTGGCACCCTCTCAGGTACTCTTGCTTTACGAGTACGGTTTTGCCGTAAAGCACAAAGCGCATTGGCAGCAAACCGTGAGGCATAAATAGTGGCACCCAGACTTGGTGAACTCCCACCAGCATTGGCTAAAGCATCTTGCAATCTATTTTCCTCTTCTCTAAGAGATTCTTCCAGCTTCTTTTTGCTGTAGCGGCGCCAGGCAGCTTGTATAAAACAAGCTGCCCAAGTCCTCCACTGCTGTGAGTAGAACCTAAAAGTGTGGCGCAGCTGCTTACTATGAAGCCGGCGGAACTGAGAAGCAACAAACTTCAAGTCATCAGCCATCAGAGCAAAAGCTTCGACTTCTGTAAGGGCTCGGACAGTTCTAGTTGAGATAGGGAGGTTCGACGAAGAATGGGGATCTAGTGCCCATGTGAGAAGTTCCTCTCCACAGAAGTCTCCTGCCCCCAGATATTCAGAATTAAAGAAGCCAGTTCTTCCACCATTTGTTGTCACGGTCAGTAGTTTGCCCCGCATGATGAAAAGCATCTCATCAACCGGGTCTCCCTCCCGAACAATGTAGCTCTCCTCTGTATAGAGAACTGGCTTGAGACGGTCACACATTGCATCCAATAATTGTTCATCCATTTTTTCAAACATTGGCACCTTAAATATCAAAGGAAATGAGTGAAATAACCTTAAAATTAGTGATTGGCCCTGAAAATGCAAGTCAAATAATATGTACCGATCTTATTTCCCGAAAAGGATGTAACCCAGTTAAAAGAATGATCAGAAGGTCAAGGAACTTACTCTCATGAGCAGAGCCAAGCAAAGGTGTTGCTTTATATCCCTTCTTAGGTCCTTGGGGAGGTTACAAAGTAAATTCTCCTCATCAACTCCTCTAGTTTCTTGCCACTTGTATTGCTCATATCTTCTGATCCGTTCCCTCAGATTTTCTGGTAGTAAGCGGTGGGACATCCATTGTTCTGCATCACGTCTTTTCACTCTCATCTCCTCCAATCTGGTAGTTGTGGATTGCAAATATGTCTGTTTTACAGCAAATTTGACTTATCATAACCTACAATTTTGGGTCCTTATGTAAGAGTGAAACTGAAGCATCCAAACCATTTCACAGTCAGGCATAACATCCTAAAGTTGTTTGATATCTCCTTTTTATTTGTTGGAGAAAGCAACAGGAAAGAATTGCACTGCTAACAGCATGATTCATGTGTTTCTTATTTGTTGCCCTTTGTAATTGGGAAAGTGAGAGAGAAGCAAATACTTGGACATTATAAAATCTGAAATCAACCAAACGTCTTTGGCCTTTGTAACCAGATTACTTATGCTTCTCAAAAGAAGAGTTAGAGATCCAGAAGCAACAATCCAGTGAATGGCATGAAGCTCATGCAGAAGATTTTCAAAAATCATAATGATGGAAACTAATTCTTTAGAAAAAGCCTTCAGAGCACAAAGAATTACCAACAAATGTTGTGTCCTACTAGAAATAGAAACCAGTTCCACTGCTACAAAACAAACAGCTCAAGATACAAATTCAAAAGAATACAGATGCTTGGTACAAACCTGCATATTTCCAATGAGAAATGAAAACAAAACCAAGCCCGAGATCGAAATGAAAACTGCAAAGCAGATTTCGAAGACATAGGTACTAGTTTCAAGGCTCTGACCCAGAGAACTGCAGAAAAAGAATAAGCAAAAAGATATCAGACACTACCGTCAGAACTTGATGGCAATGTGCTAAAGAAAACAAGGAAATCGGAAGCCAATGAATATACACCAAAATTAGAATAAGCCCAGTTGGACTGAAGATGGACGTAGACTCAACAAACCTAAATAAAGAAGACCATAATTAAGACCACCACTCAACAGTCCTCTTAAAACCATTTAACCACAGTTTTGTAAAGCACTACAAGAGCTAATGAATCGTGCTGCTCTGTCATGGATTAATCTCAGTTTCATCATCACATCAAACTGTGGTCACTAATCCTAACATCGTTTCCCACCTACCTCAAGAAAAAGAAAAGAAAAAATGATGACATATTTATAGAAAAAGGAGAGATGCTTACACCCTGACTTTTCCTAATGATCATCACATACATTATGAGGAGGGTTGATTACATTATATGTTCTATGTAGACATCATGTATACTTTTGCAACCCACCCCACTCAAAGCAAAGACTACTGATAAAAATGAGAGACCATTTCATTAATTTTTATCATGATTCTAAGAGGTCGTGAGTTAACCAGACAATTGAAATAGATACATATAGAATGTTGAAAAAGTAAATAATTGTTGGCAAAGTTTTTATTTGATTAGATTCATAAATCTTGTTAATCCAATTTGAATATGATAAAAAAGACAAAACAAATAAAGATTCAATATAAGATTATAGTGATGGAAACTAGAAAGATTAATGATACAATTGTCAAATACTAAAATTAGTGTTAAATAACTCAAAAAGTGGTATGCCAACAAACACACAAGAGATGGAATGCAAGTAATATGGTGTCAAAGAATTGGCCAAAAATAGCTGAAATACAGCCCATCTAGTAAAAAGAAACAAGCAATGACCAGTGAACACTCAAATGAAAAAGGAAAATAAATGAAAAGCATCTTATTCAACCACACCTTAGGTTTTGCAGGCCCCACCAGAAACAGTAAAAAAACTTCTCTGGAAAATCTTTTGACTCCACAACACCAGATTGAAGGGCATCAAGGAATATTCCAAAATTGAAAAGCGTTGTGTTGGGTGTTTGTATAGGGCATGATTGATTTAGAAACGTACTAAAAGAAGAATCACCATCACAGTAAAGTGACTGGGGGTTGCATCCAGTATTATTTCTACATGCGTCTTTCCAGCATGTGTATTCCCTTTCAATGGAAAACAAGTACCAAAAAGCCCCAAAAACCTACAAGAAAAGCTAGTTATTTTACCATTATAAAACATGGCAGGAAGAATGAATTAGGCTTCAAGTTAAGTGATATATTTTAAACACAAAATATAACAACTTCAGGCTTATACATGTGCAGTTATCTAGAATTCATACCATTAAAAAGTTTATCTAATGCAACTGAGATAATAACACCGAGACAACATTTTACCCCATTGTTAGTTCAGAAGCACAAATCAGCATGCTTAAGGTCATGGGATACAAGGATAAATCCTCCAAACTAGGATGTCAGTTTTTTGTAAAATAGAAGTAATCAGCTTTTATACATAAATATATTAGACAGGAAGAAACAATATATATATATATATATATATCTCTGACAGGAGTGCCAATTTCAATGCAAAGTACTAAGGATGGATCAATTTTTTAACAAAATTTTGATACTAATTTGTTGTGAGGATTGCGGTGACAAGGGGTGAACATTAAAGATAATCAAAAACTGAAAACAATGCACAACTTGCTTATAATAACTATTCGATGACTAATCATTACGCATGCACTTGCTCAGAAGTTAGATAGAGTGACCTTTCATATTTCACTATTTAGGCTGAACTCTTCAACCCATTTCAATCAAACCTTATCCGCAACTGGGTATGGCTTTCAAATAACCATATTCCGGCATTAACCTCTATTTAAACAATATATATATCACTTGTTTGCTTACTGGAAATTATAGTCATTAGAATAGGATGGATTGACCTGGGAAAACATGAATACACCTTTCCTCTACATGCACCAAAATCCATATGGTATTAGATCTAGTTTTTTATGCTGTTTTAATTTTGAAATGTCTTGAGTCCTATAAGCAATAAACCGGTCAAGAGCCCAATAAAAACACAAAAAGTACATCCACAAAAGCAAATATAAGGAAAGGTACATAGTTATTGTCAAAAATAGTTTACTACCAGTATAGCAAACTTACATGGCTTGCTAGCATGTAAAGAAACAGATTGAATGCAGCTCCAGCCCAGGCAGTTTCAGTTAGTATGCCAGAAATCCTAGTAATTTCCTTATACAATGGATATATTCGAAAAACTCTTGGCAGATATTGGAAGAGAACAACAAATGTCAACAAGTTCTTCATATTCAATGACTTCAAACCTCTCATTTGTGGTATGATTATTAAAATCACCACCTGGACAAAGAACAGCAAGTTAAAAGTCCAAGCTAATAGTATCAAGTTAAATTATAATAAATTATGACTTCAACAAAGTATTGCAAATACTAGTACAGGACTCAGGACCACATGCATAGTACATGGAAACAAGGGAGTTCCTACAACAATGGATAGTGATAAAACAATATATTTCCATCAAAGATGTAAAGCATAGTTAGTTATAGCAACTACAGTTATCCTTTGAACAACCTCATAACTAACCCTTGGTACGGCAGATTATAGAATGGTTCAACAACTCAAGGTGCAATGGAATTTCTCACTCTTATTCACAATTCAAAGTGCACAATGAGAATGAAGTTCCTGCTCACATCAATAAATTAAAAGGATTCATCCACGCATTTCATTTTAACTTTTAAAGCCTAAATAGAGTCTGACCTTTCACACATAAACCAGCTAAATACAAGAGAACATTTTCTTTGGCCTATAAGATTTTCTTACCTGTGGCAGGGGAAGAACTGCTAGAATGTCGATTACAAAGTATGATTTCAGATACCTCTTTGCTATTGCCCACGAATCTTCAACTAAAACACCTCTTCCAAATACACGAGAAGAAGGTGCAATGAAACCAGTACGAAACTGAAAAATAATATGGATCATGTAAAAGATATCTGTGAATGAACGCAGCACACTGGCTGTGATCTCCATCTTCCCATCCAAAGAAAGGCACTTCTTATCATCATTAATCACTAGGACGTAAAAGAACAAAGGATCAATTGAGACCGCTATGATACATGATAATACAAATATCTTGTTCCACCTTTTAAGGAATGGCCCTTGAGGATCAAGAACTTTCTTACTAGAACCAAAGCCTTTAGCAACAACATGGTTAAGTGAACAAGATCTAAATGACCTTCTAATCCCTTTAATCCTTTCAGAACCAGATTCAATCCCTCTTTGAATCTTTTCTGAAAATGAATTTATTGCAAATCTAATTTTCCTCGAATTTATCCCATTATTATCTGAATAATGTCCTTCAGCGCTTTTCTCTGAATTCCAGTCCTGGAACCTGGAAGACATTGAAGAAAATCAGTCTATCATTTCATGTAAAAAAATGAAAGTTAGTAAGAGAAAATCAAACCCTTAGACTAATTGCACAATATATAACATTTTTGGGCACAATATATAATTGCTGTGGTGTGAGAAACGAGGCATTGATAGTTATGGGAGCAGTAGATAAAGGGTACGGTCACTCAAAAAGACGTGGTGCTGTCAGTTTTATTTGAGATATTTGAAAACATAAGTTTGATGGTGGTGTCAATTGCAGTAGCTTCAGCCGATGAGTATTCATGATAGCATCGTTGGGTGATGCAAAGGGTGGATGACGACATAGCTGATGATTTTGCTAACAAAATTGCATATCTAGTATTATCTTAACCGTTTTCTGAATAAAAAAGTACATCTAAGACCTAAAATCAAGCAAAGCATCCACTTAAAAAACATAACAATCATTCCTAGTACAAAATCAATGGACGAAATTCAAGAGAGTACTAACCTCACAAACTTCTCTGGTGGATAATTCATAAGTATAGCTTTCCTAATGATCCCACCTCTAAAAAAGAACAAGGATCAGCTCTGAAACAGTAAAAAATTTAAGAAACTTCTTCATGCACAGCAAAATCTTATTGACGGACCCTAAAAAGGGAAGAAAAGAAATGAAATACCAAATTAGAACATTCCAATCACAATGACAGGCCCGGGACAAATAGAAATAAGCACAGAAGCAAAAATATCTAGTACTGCACAAACTTTAAAGACATCGAAGCCACATATACTAAAGACAACTGGAAACCAGACATCATATTAGTTGCATCCAATCAGGTACAAAGCTGAAACAAGAGATTAGTCAACTACTCTCCCTTCACATAAACAATAATAAAACATAACCTCGATTAAATCGTTGCATAATCATTATAATTACTGGAAAAAAGAAACGAAAGTGACATTTAGGGCGTTTCATAAAGTTGCAGATTAGCCGCTAACTCCGACCAGCCAAACACCAAAAGTATCGGATAAAAAAAAAGCATACCATACTTGACAGTGATATTCTTGCATAAAATTGAAAGAACGCGTGAATGAGAAATAATTACAAGAGTAGTAAAGCCAAATTTTAGAAAACAAAAATATAAATGAATAAAGAACAAACAAGCAAGCAATTCCTTCAGTTCAGTTTCTTCAAGTCAAAGATCAAAACATTTAATCCTGTTTTCGAAAATAAGTAGCCCTAAATTGTCGGGAAATTTTAAATTCGAAACATTCCTCTAGAAATTGAAGAATAAAGTATAAAATTTATGAATATTAATCAACGAAAGGGAAAAAAAAAGAGTGAATGAAGAGAAGGAATAAGGAACATACTGAAAAATCTGAGTGGAGTAAACAAACAGGTTGGAAATAAATTTATTATTAAATTTAAAATTTCCTTGTTTTCTTTCTTCTTGAGAGAGGGAAGGGGGAAGAAATTTTCGGGAAATGTCTAGGGTATGGTCTCAGAGTCCCAGTGGGATTTTTTTTTAAATAAAAAATATATTGGACAAAAGACCAAAGAGTCAAAGACAGAGACTGCTGTTAGGGAAAACAAGAGATTCTTGTGACTTGGGGTCCCACTGGAGAAAGCTTTCTAGCGGTAAAAGTTCTCCGTTGGTCCGGCTCTCCGGTTTGCTCCTGTCCAGTTTCTTACACTGCAAGGTTTTCTACCCTCACAGTCACAGATACCCATGGTAAGTTTTTAAGTGGTGCTGTGGCGAGATGATTGGGAAGTGATAAAAAAGGTAGCGGATCAAACATTCTTTCTCGCGACATGCCATTGAGGCGCCAACAGCCCAACACTCTAGAGTATGTTTGTACAGAAGTCAGTTGGTGGCAGATGGTCTCTTTGACCGTTGCAAATTTTCCTTTTTTTTTTCCCTCCAACGTGCCTTGCATGCTCCGTCATGAAGCAGGAAAATGTTCCCCGATATCTTAATGAGCACGGGTTATTTATCGGTTAATTCTAATTAAATTATTTAAAATTAGATTATTTTATTAATTAAAAAATGAAATATATTTAAATTATGTTAAAATTTTAATTTTTTTATATTTGAAACAAGCTAAATAAAATTATTTAATAAAATATTTAAATATTTAAATATTAAATTAAAAACTCTAATAATTTACAAAATAAAACAGTTTATTTTATTTTTGGGTTTTTATTTTTCAATTAAAACTTTGATTAATTGGATTATCGAATTAAATTAATTAAAAATCAAAACTCTTTCAAAATAATTTTTTGTAATCGGCCAAAATTAGTTTAGTAATAAATTGATTAATCAAATTCATTTGATTAAAATCAAAATATTAACTTTTCTAAATAAGAATTTTATTTCAAGTTGTAATCATCATCACTATTATTATAGTAGTATTTATATATAAACAAAATAAAATAAAATACTTTAAGTAGTTTTTTTTTCTTTTGATTTTGTAATTTATGCAATATAATAATGGCTACCAACTTTTTTATTACAAAAGTTTATTACTAGTACATACTTGAAGTAGAAGCATTTAAAATCTTTTATACTAAACACATACTACTATATAAGTATAAGCAACTATGGCAAAAAAAATAAAAGTATAAGCAACAACTAAATTATTATATATCAATTGTTGCAAAAAATTTTAAAAAACTCAAATTATTATTTAACAAATTCTCATGTCTGCGGTTGACAATAACTTTTATACTTTATTTGATAGAACAGATGAGATATTTTTTAACAAAAAATTAAAATGCTAAAAAAATTTTGAATTATTTATATTTTTATTGTATTTAAATAAGTTTTAATCTTTTATTTGGTATTTAAATAATTTTTTATTTCAAATGAAAATTTGATTTATGTTAAGGATATATTTAGGTATAAATAAAAGATTAAAATTTTATTTTAATATAAATTAAAAATTAAAGATTTATTTTGGATACAAATTAAAATTTAAAAATTTATCTAAATATAGTAAAAATATAAAAATTTTATTTAAATAAAGTGACAAAATTTAGGCACATTTTTTATTATTTTTGCCTTAGCAAAGTCGTTTATGAAATAAAAACTTAGAGTTAGAGCATAGCTCACTTAATAATGCGGCAAAAATTTAACTTGCAAAGGCATGCTGGTGCGGTGGGCAGAAGCAAGTAAAAAAATTGAGATTTAATTTGGATCAAAATTTAAAAGTCAAGCGGCCTATCCAGGCCCTGATTTGCGCATTTGGAATTCTCTTAACACAATTGACATCAGACAAATGGATTTTGGATAATGAATACGACAAGTTTTTGCCTTACTTCCACATCTTCCATCTTTAGCTTTCAATCACTACAATTATATTACTAAATTATTTGTTTTGGCAATTTGGTTATCTAATCTGCCGTATTTCCTTGTACATTATTGTCTTGGCAACCTCAAAATTTTAATGAACATTCTCTTACCAATAGATATTGGTAATTTATTTTAATTATATATACAAATTCAATTATAACTAATATCCTTTATCATTTTTCATTATTCCTACAAAGCAAGCCTTAGATACAAACCAAATGTCAAGAAATACACCATTTTTTTACCAAAAAAATCACAGCCTAATAATAAAATATTACAGATACTAAATTTTGATCTTTAAATATATTTTTGTGCATCACATAAGCTTAAAACTAATTTAATTTAATATGTTTTCGCCTTTGCATATTATATATCCTTTCTTGTGCCCACAAGCCCTTCCAACATGTATGCTCCAGATCTCTGAATGGGCTCACCAGAAACCGATAGGGGATCCAGAAATCACTTACATCATCAGTTATGCAAGAACCACCAATAGGAAAGCTATAGGTATTGTCAGGAGAGTGACGCAGGTCAGATGGATATGACTGAGTTTCTCGCTGAACAGTGGGCTTCTATTTGGTCAGAAACTGAAAGTAGATGAAGAGTTGTAGGCAGTATAACTGCCATTTGCAGAAGATGACTCCAAAGTGCAATAGTGCCCACAGGGATTCTGTGTTGCCGGGATGCTTGTATTGATGGATAATTTACATTAGGCAAGGTTTCGTCATTTGTTGAGGGCCGAGGGCTGAGACGTGTGGTGAGGAGGGAGGCTGGGGTCAAGGCACGAAAATATCAAATAAAATGAGGCGGAAAGAAAATAGGGTAGGGTTTGGAAAGTGATGCATGAAAATATCAATAGCCCATTATTTGGTTAACCATTCGATTAACTTGATTTTCAATCGTAATTAACTGAAAATTAAAATATTTTTAGAATTATTTTTTGATCTCTTACAGCATCATTTCTAGGGTCTATTGATTAATCAAAATATTTCAATTCAATCGATTAATTCAATTTTAATCGAATTTTGAATACCCTGATCAATAATCTACGAAAACAGCTTAAAAACAATTTAAAGGAAGATAAGTTGCCATGAGCCGGATTTAAACTGCATTTCTTTTTAACGGGCAAAATTTTGCCAACAACTTTCTTGATTTTTTGAGTTAAATGAAGAAACCGCAACAAATCACACCTGGCTTAGTATGCTGTTTAACTTGTTAGAAAAATTGGAGAAAATAAAAATAATAATAAAAAAAGAAATATGGTTTGAAATATAAAAAAAGTATCTTAAAATTAATTAAATTTATAAGATATAACAATTTTAATTTTTCAAATCAAAATAAGCGAAATCGGTCATATAAAAATATCTATTTATAATAAATGAACGGTTATAAAATTCTATTCAAAAGTTATGATAATTTGTTTAGTCATATTTTTATATTTAAAGAGTTATAATTATTTGAATAGTTATTTATTTTAAATAATTATAATATTTTATTTTGTCATAAAATAATTATTTCTATTCATATAAACTTATTAAAAATAAAAATAATATTAATTTATTGATATTCTGAAATTAATAAATAAAAAATTTAAAAAATAAATTTATTTATCAAACAAATTCAAATACTCAAATGTTGAAGTACTCAATTTTTTACTTTTATAATTTTTTGATCCACTAAGAAAATTACTAACAAACTTAAATAATTTGATCCACTATAACATTTAATTTAATTACTTAAACTACAAAAATTATCTTTTTTAAATTATATATAAATGTGTTTTTATTCAATATAAGATAGGTTTCATTCTAAATTACCAACATAACTGTTTTAGATACGATAGATTGGTGTTTTTATGATGAGCTAGGCTTGGCCAGAGAAAGTGAGTCTGGTAGTGGACCGGTCCCATGCCTGAAACAGAATACAACCTTTTTTTTCGCTAGTGAGTTGGCACCAACCTAAAGGCTAAAACAAGGTGTGGAGCTTCAATAAAAATTATAGTAGCGAAATACTCGCTCTTCGTCACGAGGCATATAAATGATAAATAATTGTTTAAACAATGAGTAAAAAATATGTAATAAATAATAAATTATTTAAAAATGAAAAAAAAATTAAGATAAGAGTCATCTAGAGCTCAAGTTACATGCTATAAAACTCAAACTCAAAAGAAATTCAAGTACACTTTCCTTGAGTTCAAAGTCAAAGGATACAACACAACCAATCCCTTAGAATATCCAATGTTCAGTTAATCTAATATGTCATTTGGTTTGAAAGAATTCATATGTATTTTTTGAAAATTTATTATTAGATATTTGATTTTAACGTTGATTTAAAAAAAATATATAGATTTTTAATAGTATCTAAAGTCACGGAATAAAAAACTTATCTCTCCTTATGATTTTTTAAGATTTCGAGAAAAAAAATTACATTATTTTTAAATTTAACCTGAATAAAAAATTATGAAATAATCGTTATTATTTTGAAAAGTATGTTTGGTAGTAACTGTAAATCAATTGTAAATTTTTACTGTTAAAAATATTTTTTTTATATTGCAATTAAGGGCATTTGGCATGAGAAAAGGCTTAAATAATTTTATTCAATTTTTTTAAAATTATTTAAGACGTTTTATGATAAAAAAATATCTTAAATAATCCAATTCAATGTTTTATAAAAGATTATTTAAGGCATTTTATTTAAGATATTTTTTTTGGTTAGAAACACCTTAAATAATCCAAAAAAAAAAAAGTAATCCCTAAAAATAAACATTAAAAAGAGAGATCAAATTTATGACCTTATGATTAATAACCATATTCTCTAACTAACTAAGCTATTCTATTTTTTATATTTTATATCTTAAATCTTATAAATAATGAAAGAGATTATTTAAGATTTTTTTTTAGTAAAAAATGACTTAAATAATATGGTCCAAAAAATTAAAAGGTATTATTTAAATGCTAGAAAAAAGATCAAACCTACGACTTTATGGTTAATAACCATATACTCTGACTAATTAAACTACTCTGGTTGTTTTATATTTTATCTCTTAAATATTATAAATAATGAAAGGGATTATTTAAAGTGTTTTTAGTAAAAAAAAAGTTTTAAATAATACAGTACAAAAAATTAAAAGATATTATTTAA